TTTTGAACGACCAACAATAAAAAAAAAATATATATATATATATATATATATATATATATATATATATATATATATATATAGGCTGGACCAGGCTGGAGTTGTATCTCAGTGCACATGTGAGGCAGTAGGTTCAATCCTCAGCACCACATTAAAATAAATAAAATAAAGGTATTGTATCTATCTACAGCTGGACAAAAAGGGGGTGTGGGGGTGGTGATACTGGGGATGTGGCTCAGTGGTTAAAGGCCTGTGGGTTCAATCCCTGGTACCAAAACTAAAACAAAAACAAAAATACTTTATTGTTATCTTTTTTGTTACTTTATTCATTTTTTATGCTATTATGTAAAAATACATAATAATAGTGCTATTATGTAAAAATACAAGAAAGAACTAGAGGATATAGATATGAAGTTTTGAATCTATGAGAATAGAAATAATAATTCACTTTTAAAGTCAATCAGTTAAAATTTATTATTCAGTAGTTATTAATAGTGACAAATATATAGAAATGTATTTACTTAAATTAAATACCTCATTTATGAAAGATACTTGTTTTTTAAAATTACCTTTAGTGATGATGAGTTTTGATCCATTCACTTATTTCTGAACAACTGTAATAATTTGATCCTTTAAAAATATATTCATATTAGGTTGAATCAAATGATATTACTAATATTCAGCTAGTTTTGACCTACAGAAATGGCAATTTCTTTTTTTCTTTTTTTCTTTTTTTTTGGTGGTGCTGGGGATTGAACCCAGGGCCTTGTGCATGTGAGGCAAGCTCTCTATTGACTGAGCTATATCCTCCCAACTCAAGAAATGGCAATTTCTTAAAGTCCAAGTTAGATATGGTCATGTGTGTGTTTTGAATTTTTAAAAATTCTTTTGCATTCATTCATTCATTCATTCATTCCTTCATTCGTTTATTTTTGGTACCAGGGATTTGACCTAGGGGTACTTAACCACTGAGCCACATCCTCAACCCTTTTTAATATTTTATTTAGAGATAGGGTCTCCCTGAGTTACTTTGAGCCTCGCTAAGTTGCTAGGGCTGGCTTTGAACTTGAAATCTTCCTGCCTCAGCCTCCCGAGCTGCTGGGATTACAGGCAGGTGCCACTGCACCCCACCTGCTTGCTTTGCTTTATCGTAGTCTTCCCTTTTTCTCTCCTTCCCCATCAGTTATAGAATCCATGTCTATCAGCAGAAAACACTAGATTCTGCCAGTCCACCTGGACCTACAACCTCCTGTGGTCTGAGGTTGATGAGGCGCTTGAAGCCCTCCCTGTTCCTTGAACTTTGGACTCTGGGTCTGGGATGGGGTCTCCACAGGAGCATTTCTAACAACTCCTGGTCGTGTTGGTGCCTTCAGTCTGAGACAACCCACATTTCTGAGAACCATTGGTATGGAACATCCTTGGACAAAATTTAGCTGTGAAGGCCGAGGGATGGGGTAGTAACTAGTGGAAAGAGCAAGGCAGAGAGAAGGTGCACTTATTAAGGTCATGCTTGGCTTAGGGATAGCCCAAATTTTTCTCATAAACCAGCCTTCCTTCCACCTGATACCTATAGTCCCTTGTCTTTGCCCATCTATTTCTATTTTTATTGTTTCAACTTTTATTATTATAGGGCTGTATACTTTCTAAATCCTTGACACAGCTGTGTTAGTTGTTTGGAAAGATTGCCAAGGACAAGATTTAATGATTCCATCTTACATATAAACATTCCTAAGCTTGGCTACCCATTAGTGATGGTTAACTTAACGGTGATGAATTCATTATTCACCACTTACACATTATCTCCATGCTTAAAATATTAAGTGGCAATAATAATAAAAGGGTGAATGACTAATGAAGTATTTTTTTTCCTCCTCATAGAATCTGTGCCCAGCTATACCACCAAGGTATCTTTTAGCCTTCAACTTTAACATCATTCATCAGAAGACTGCAAAATCTCACCATCCTGTGGAGCTTTACAACTTTGTGTATAGGAATACATGGCTTGTGTTTTAGGACAAAGTCTATTAACCACTGTCATAGTCATTAAGAAAAATATAGGAATCATGGCTTGTGTTTTAGGACAAAGTCTATTAACCACTGTCATAGTCATTAAGAAAAATAATTTTCAAATTTCAAATGTATGAATATCTTCCTCTATGGGCTCAAGAATTGATAAATTAGTTTATATATTGGTATTCATAGGTTCATTTGCATACAATTGTTTCCAAATAATGCACATTTAATATTATAGAAGGTTTTTTTAAAAAAATTATAATTTAATGACCAAATTCTGACACTGAATGCACTGTTTTCAGAAATCAAGGGCTAAAGGATCGTGAAAAGAACCTTCATATTGGACGAGTCAGATCAGAGTTTTGTTATTTGAAAATGTTTAATACATTCTTTCTTTTACTGAGAGTAACTAACGTTCCTTGGATTGAAATGAACTGTTACTTCCGTGATGTTTTAAATTATATTTTGGCAAGAATATTTGGAGCTCTGTTTTGGCTCTCAGACGAGACCCAGGGTGTGACTTGGGCCTTGGGGGTGGGAAGGCTGCCCATGCATGGGGTTCCAGACACTCAGCTGGGGTGTGGCTGTCCCTCAAGGAAGAAGTGTGAGCCCTGCTGGGGTGGAAAGTTTTGAATGGCCTGCCTGGACAGCAACCATCCTTTCCTGAGTGGCTACCTTGGGGGTTCTGGGAGCTACCTGAGCACAGAAAGCAGAAGCAATGCCCTCAGGGGGTCTTTCCTCTTCCTCCCAGGGGTCCACTTAGAGTCTGGAGACCAACTGCATACACTGCTGAGTTCATCCTGGGCAAGGCTTCCCTGTGGGTACTGCAGGGAAACTCCACCCACAGTGACCATGGCCCAGGAGGCCCATGGGACCGTATGTTATAATAGGATTCACTTCAGGGCTTTGTGATCTTAGGTCACATCACATGATTTGGAGAAATCCTACAAAGTTCCTATTTTTATACAATTGTCTTAGATGAAGATAAACAAGATGTGACTGATGGTCTTGAAGAAATGCTGAACTAGCTTTTGTGATTAAGAAGGAAAATGTGCACACATTGACTTCCATGGTCCAGCCTGGTGATGTCCAATAGTAGCTTTCAGCAGTGAAAGAAATGTTCTGTATCTTTGTCATCCAGCGCAGTAACTGCCAGACACAGGGTTCTTGAACACTTGAACAGTGGTTGATGTGATTCAAGGACTGTATTTTAAGTGGAATTTAATTCAGATAGCCACAAGTAGTTGCCCTATGTGACAACAAGGTATAGCCAGTTGGAGATTTTGGAAGTTAATCACCTTTCATTTCTGAAAGGTGATTTTTATTTTTCTTATCCGAAGAGCTAATCTGTTCTCAGAGGCATGCAGTTCAAAAAGGTTACTTTTAACACCCCAGGTTTTTGTTCAAGTCAATATTTTGGACAAGTTCAAATATTTAATCCTCATCAGATAGAAAATAAGCAGACCATTCTAAAAACCACCTGGTAATGCTTCAATAAAGGGTTGTTCCAACTTGAAAACAAACTCTTGAGAAGTTTAAAAGATAAAAAGAATAGGGAAATGAAAAATCGCTTTCATTAACACTTTAAAAATATAATCAAGATTATTGGTTGCACTACTTGAAGGATTTTGAAGTTTTATCTCATGCCATCTATAGCCAAATGGAAAGTATAAGTGAAAAGGGGAGTGGGTTTTCACACAGAGAGGCTGTCTATAATTTATATCATTTTATTTCATTCACTAAAACCAGTTGTCTCAGTGTCACATATAAATAAGTGAAAAAAACTGCATTTATATATATTTCATGTTATATAATACTCTGAAAAGAAGCATGTTATTTGAATATGTTTATTAAAATACTACTTAATTTATTTATATAAATATAAAAATACAGAAAGTTCCAAAGGTAGAAAATGCTTCTTAGTAGAAATATCCTAGAGATTTAAAATAAAAAATTTTACATGATCCATATGGACCCATGTATTATTATTATTATTATAATTATTATAAATTAATATTATTATTTTCGGGGCTGGTGATTGAACCCAGGGCTTCACACATGCTTGGCAAGTGCTCTGCCATTAACCTCCAGCCCAGGCCTTTTAAAAAATTTAATTTTGAGATAGAGTCTTACTAAGTTGCTAAGGCTGGCCTGTAACTTGCTATCCTGCTTCAGCTTCCAGAGACAGCTGGGATTATAGGTATACACCACCATGCCTGGCTTCTGATGCTTAATTTAGAAGAGTTATTTACATAATAGAATATTTGTAGGAACATTAAAGGAATGAGAGAAGAATAAAATATTTCTTAGAAGAAAGGTCTTCTGGTTTCAAAATGGACAACAACATCCGTTTTTTTCTATGAGGGAAATGTAGGAGAGAAAAGATTTCCTTTCTCATCCATTGCTAGGTTCATGGCTGAGACTTTGATAGCAAAAGACAAATTAACAAGAAAAAACACATTTAATGTAAGTTTTACATGATACAAGAGCCTTCAGAAATGAAGATCCACGGGGGTGCGGTGCATGCCTGTAATCCCAGTGGCTCAGGAGGCTAAGGCAGGAGGATCACGAGTTCAAAGCCAGCCTCAGCAATTTAGCAAGACCCTGAGTAACTCACTGAGACCCTGTCTCTAAATAAAATATAAAAAAAAGGGCTGGGGATGTGGCTTATTGGTTAAGTGCCCCTGGATTCAATCCCCAGTGCCCCACCCCACCCCCCAAAAATGAAGATCCAAAGAAACAGGTAAGCTTTTTTCTTTTTTTTTTTTTTGTAAGTTTGATAAAGAAGTAGGTAGTTGTAGAGACACATGATTGGAGGACCAAAGGGAATGACTAGTGGTGATAGACTTGGGGAATTCAGCAAGTCCTGTTCAGAAGCTTCTTGGCATCTCTATTGTTGTGAAGAAGAGTTTTCTTTTTTTTTTTTTTTTTTTTTTTTTTTTTTGCGTATGGTGGGGATACTCTGGGATAAGGATGTTATAAACTACTTCAGAGAGGAAAGTGAGAAGATTCTTTCATGGACTGCTGCAGGACAAGAGTCCCCAAAGGTTCATGTGTTACGAGGCTTGGTCCCCATCTTGGCACTATTGAGAGGTGATGAAAACTTTTTTTTTAAACTGGGGATTGAACCCAGGGGTGCTTCCCACTGAGCTACATCTGCAGCTCTCTCTCTCTCTCTTTTTTTTTTTCCTTTTAAATTTTGAGTCAGGGTCTCACTAAGTTTTTTTAGGGCCTCGCTGAGTTGCTGAGGCTGGCCTCTAACTTGCAATCCTCCTGCCTCAGCTTCTTGAGCCACAGGGAATACAGGCCAGTGTCACCATGCCTGGCAGTGGGTCCCATTGAGAGGTCTTTGGGTCACCGGGAATGTGTTCTTGAAGGATATTGGGGGACCCAGATCTTTCCCTTGCTCTCATTCTCTTCCTGGGCATCAGGGGAGTGGCTTTGCTGTCCATGTGCTGCTCTGATGATGTGCTGCCCTGCCACAGATCCTAAAGTGACAGGCCAACCAGCTAGGGACTGAAACCTCCACAACTGACCCCAAATAACCCTTTCTGTCCACAAATTGCTCATCTCAGGTATTTGTTATGGTGCCAGAAAAGTGACCACTGCATAAATCAGGAGAGAAGTTACGCTCTGTAAGAGTTGAAGTGGAGTGGAGGTTCCAGAACTTTATTCATTTTAGTTTAATTAACTCACTCCTTGCCGGGGGCCTAGTCTTCCTAAAATATATGCCATGTCTGTGGAGAGTCCTTTGCGGCTCTTATGAATCGGCCTTTGCTGGATTTGTGTGCAATCAAGAATGTTGGAACTGAAGGCACAACACAGAGCCCTGTTCTGCCAAGTCCTGTGCAGAATCCTCCAGGTCCTTGCTAAACGGTATTCCTTGCAGCCCAGGCTTAGTATGTTTGGGTGGCAATGTAATTAGAGCCCCAAAGAATTCTTATTATTTGTCAGAGGAGTTATTTCAAAATTGCCAGTGAGAAGCACTTGGTATTTAAAGTTGAAAAAAATAAAATTGTACAGAGCAAACACTTCTCTTCAAGCTGCTTTTCCCAATATTCATGAGGCTAAGAACAATGTCCATCCTGTAAAGGGAAATATTAACCTCATGGAGTGAGCTGGAAGAGACTTCTGATTCTTTAGGGCATCTCTCCTGGGATTCCTCAGCCAGCATGTTGGTGTAGGAGATATAGTGGTCAGGACAAAAGTGACTTATGTCTAAATCAGAATGTACCTGGTTTGAACAACAAGGACATCAGAAGCATTCCCGGTGCTGATGGTGACAGTGTCCAGTCCAAAGCTCCACATGCCACTCTAATGGTTTTGTTTATTTATAGCATACTGGAAACTATGCAGGGGGAAACAGACCAGGGTTACTTGGGGGCAATCATAGAGTTTATGAGTCAAGATATTCTGCAGTTGGGTTGAACTGGATCCCTTCAATATCTGTCTTGTCTCATATAAGATTTTAAGTTTCTGGAGTTTGGCTAATACATTTAGACTGTGCTCAAAAGTTTGATGACAAATAGCGAGTCTGCACTTGCATTTTTGCTATTTTCCCAACAATTACTTCCAGTAGATAATTATATTATTTATGATATTGCCTCAAAAGTATGAACGTGCACCACAAAAATTGCATTTTCTAGAAATGCAAATCAAAACCACAATGAGATATCACTTCACACCCGTTAGTATGGCCATGATAAACAAAAATCAAGAAAGAAATATTAGTAAGGATGGGGAGGAATTGGAACCCTTATGAACTGCTAGTGGGATTGTCAAATGGTGTAGACAACACGGTGGTTCCTTAAAAACTTAGAAATAGAATTTCCACAGGATCCAGCAATCACACTTGTAGGTGTCTATCCAAAATAAGTGAAAGCAGGATCTTAAGGAGATGTGCACACTTTTATGTTCACAGCAGCACAATTTACAATGACCAATAAAATATCCATTGATAGATGAATAAACAAAATGTGGTATATACATACAATAGAATAGCATTGAGTCTTGGGAAGGAAGAAGATTCTGACAGGTGCGTGATACAACCTGGATGAACTTTATTGGGTGTGGTGTGGACATTGAATCCAAGGCCTGAATGCTCTACCACTGAGATCCATGCTCAGCCCTCATGCATGGACCTTGAGGACAATTATGCTGATTGAAATAAGCCAGTCACAAAAAGACAAATACTGTATGATTCCACTTCTGTGAGGTATTTAAAATAATCAAGTTCATGGAAAGAGAGTAGAATGGTGATTTTTTCAGGGGCTGGAGGGGAGGGAGAAAGAGAAAATTATTATTATTTTTTTTTATGGTGCTGGGGATTGAACCCAGGGCCTTGTGCATGAGAGGCAAGCACTCTACCAACTGAGCTATAGCCACAGCCCAAAAGTTATTTTTTAAATGGGTATAGAGTTCTGAAGATCTGTTTCACAACAATGTGAAGGTAACTATTTGATTCTGTACTTTAAAGTGGTTAACATAGTCAATTTTATGTGTGTGTGTGTGTGTGTGTGACCACAATTAAAAATAATGACATTTTGTTTTGTAAACTCCAATGTCAAGTCTGGCTTACAGTTACCTCTTCTGTGAATCAAAGCTCTCTGAAGTCTTGTGCCGAGTTTCTGTTCTTCAATAATCCTTTCCAGTTAACTTCTTGTTATCGTCACCTTTGCCAGTTTTACTCTAAAAACGCTCTCATTATAGAACAGAGGACAGAATGATCATTAACTAACACTGAAATTAAGGTGACATCATAATTTAGGTAATTAGAGTCTTTCAGAAGCCAAATTCTCTGGGGCTGAGAAATGACATTGGGGAAGCTCTGTATGTAGTAATTTAATCTGACAAATTAAAATAACACTCCTCACAGGAGACTTCTGTTAGTGCACAGCTCCCACTTCTATATCTGAAGTTCCTCGTAACCAGATGTTTCTTATTTGTTTAGGAACAATTTGCTGGATTCAAGGTCACCAGTCCAGCTTGCCATTCTCCCTCCTGGGTTCTAGGGGGGCTTTCCTATGACATTTCCCACTTGTGCCACTATTTTCAACATTTCTACTGAATAAACCTTTAGGAAAGAGCAGTCAGAAGCTTAGATTGTGACCCAAGAGGGGGCCAAGAGATTGTCCATTAGTTTCACGGGCAGGATGTATTAATTGCCTATTGTTGTTCTAACAAATAACAACAAATTTGTTGATTTAAAATAAAAAGGTATTATATTACAATCCTGTATGCCAGAAGTTCAATATAGTTCTCACTGGGCTAAAATCAGGGAATCCAATCCCTAGTCCCAGGAGATGCAGCCAGGTGGCCTGAAGCACAGGCATGGAGCTCACCATGCCGGTGCAGTTCTGAGGCATGGTGAGCCAGGGCCAAGGCAAGCCAGGTGCACCAACCTGTCGCACCCAAGGCAGCTGACCCAACCCGGTGTGGATGTCCCTCCACACATCATGGC